CTGTAAGCACAGACCATGGGCACCAAGTGACCTCAAAGCACACCCTGCCCTCACCCCTGGCAGAGCCGTGGGCATCGCAGGGGCCCCTGCCCAGATACACAGCTGAACCCCCTCCCCTCTACCACATGGCTGCTGTGAGCTTCAGGCCAGAGTGGGCATCCTCACTGGCGTGGGCCCTGCTATGTCCACGCTGGGGGCCACCCTGGTGGCAGGGGTGCTCAGGAGCCTACTGGGGTCCCAGGGCACAGCCCCAAGAAGGGCCGGCCTAGGCCAGGCTAGGGGGCCCGGGGGCCAGGCCGACGGGCCTGCAGGTGACCACAGAATGTTCTAGGTGGGGCCTGGGCAGGCTCCTCACTGGACCAGGGAGGACCCAGCATTGACTGTGGCTGTGAGCCCTGAACAGACCCCTGGGCCAGCAGCACTCCCAGCTCCTGCAGCCTCCCGGCTAGGAGGCCCCAGGAGGCCATGGACAGGCTCTGCCGCCGCCAGCCTCTGTCCGCTGTCATCCCAGGGTCTGGAGCTGGGTGAGGGAGCCATGCTGTGCTCTCACACACCAGGGAGGCCGTGAGAGTGGCCTCGACATGTGGGCTCCATCCCAGGGTCTGGAGCTGGGCGAGGGGGCCATGCTGTGCTCTGGCACACCAGAGAGGCTGTGAGAGTGGCCTCGACGTGTGGGCTAGCTCCTCCATCACAGGAGGGTCTGGTGGACTCTTGGGAGCCACTCTGCAAAGGGGTCTTTGGGATGGACCCAGGTGGGTCCACGTCAGGGGGTCCCCAGACATGACTTCCCAGCCTTGGGGGACAAGGCTATGGACAGTACTCTGTGGGAACCCTGCAGGCTCAGCACCTGGCCTGGGGGTCTTCCTTGGGCCAAGAGAAGCTTCCAGAAGCCATGCCAGAACCATAGCTCAAGATGGGATCTTGGCAGCCGCCTCCACACCCCAAGATGGCAGAGGCCCCTGTGTGCTGCTTGGCTCCTGTGCCTTCAGGTACAGACCCATGAGAGTCAATGTGACCCAGGTTGTCAGAGATGTGCAGGGTTGAGGTGCAGGGACAGGAGCAGAGGTCATGGAGTGACAGCAGGCCCACTGTGGCACTCCTGGCTGATGCGGTTTATCCCAGTGGAGGACAGGGAGAGGGGCACGGGGCGGTGAGAGCCTGGGACAGCGCGGGGCGGAGCTGGGGGCGACACGGGAGTAGTCTGAATTGGTGGCTGGGCTGATTCTCAGGCTGGGGCACTGAGTTGTGGCCAGGCAGAAGGGAAAGCAGAGGCCAAATGGGCACGAGGCCTTCCTACAGCCCCGCTCAGCAGGCTGGACAGCGGGGCAGGGTCGCCCCAAGACCCGCTCCGGCTCTGAGTACCCCTACCAGATGGGGCATCGCTCCAGGCTTCCTGAACCTTCCAGACAATGCAGCAGCCTCCTGGCACCCCTGCTTTGGGGCCACCCCACACCCGCCCAGAGCCCTTCCCGACATGCATGCCATCCAGCTGCCTGCAGAGAGCCCCCTGCCCGCCGCCCTCTCCTCGCCTGCGGGACAGACACAGTCCCTCGGCTCCCTGCTGTCATCTGAGCCCAGCTGGCCCCACAGGCTTCTCTGTGCAGGTCAAGGAAACTTGGTTCAAGGGATGTGCCCTAGGCTGAGGGCGTCATGACGCTGGGACTGCAGGATGCATGAGCCGGTGGGAGGCCCCGAGAAGCCAGCAGACATGAGACCCCCTGGCCCCCTCTCAGCCCTAACCCTGTGGAGGACGTAGAGGAGGCAGTGGGGCAGGGTCTGCAGTGGCTCACTCCTGTGTGTTCACCTTGGGGACTGTGAAGGCAACTCCTGCAGGCTGGCACCTCATCGGCCACTCTGCCTCGCGCCCCCTTCAGTGAGGGACCCCAACCCCAGCATGGCGATGCCCCTGAGCGACGGTAACTGAAACCTTGGGAAACTGGGCAGACACTGCTCGCTGAGCAGAGCATAGGGAACTCGGAACCCCGAGCTGCAAGGACTTGCCCCCAAGAGCCACCACGCGCCCAGCCTGGTCATACCCGGGGCGTACCTTCCGCAGGTGGGCAGCCACCGGGAAGCCCCAGCCACCAGGCCCCGCCCAACACTCCGGTCACCAAGGGCTGAGCGACACTGACAATGAGGCTGTGATTAGCTGTTTCCTGCCATTCTCCTTCTCACACTAGGCGTTCCCCTCATTCCTAGGCAAACACGGGGCTCCAACACCCTGGCATTGTCCCCACATGACAGGAAGCAAGGCCAGGTCACATGGCTCAGAGAGTGCTCAGTCCTCCCAGTCTCCCCTCGTGCTGCAGGGGCGACCTGGAGAAGGGTGCATCACTTCTTTGCTCACTGGTGCAGGGGGGCAGCTGGCAGGGGTGCTGCAGGGAGCAGGGGCTGGCAGGGGCGCTATGAGAAGTGGAAGGCTGGCAGGGGCACTGGAGAGACTGGGGGTAGCAGGGGTGCCATGGGGAATGGGGGGCTGGCAAGGGCACCGGGGGAGCAGGGGCTGGCAAGATCACAGGGGAATGGGGGTCTGGCAGGGGTGCCATGGGGGATGGGGGTCTGGCAGGGGTGCCATGGGGGATGGGGGGCTGGCAGCAGTGCCATGGGGATTGGGGTTAGCAGGGGCACCACATGAGACCATGTAATGACCCCACGGAGCCCAGGCGAGTGCACAGGTGGGCCAGAGACAGCCTGCAGTCCAGCACAGTGGGCCCAAGTCCCATGCCCTTGCCTGGACTGCCCACTGCTGCTGGGCCTCCTAGTCGGCATGCGGGTCACCCCTGCTGTCTTCAGCAGCCTCTCCCTACCCCCTCCAGCCCACCTGTGGCTGCCTGTCTTGGCTCAGCATCAATAACCCCCGGTCACGTGACATGCATCAGGCATGCCTGCCAGACCACAGCCTGGTGGAGGGGTCAGGTGAAGGACAAGGGAGGGGCCCGAGGCCATCCAGGCTCAGGCCCCACCCATGTGCACCCCAACTCTGCCCTGAGGCCCAACCATGTGTGCCCCAACTCCGCCCTGAGGCCCCGCATGTGCACCCAGGCTCAGGCCCCGCCCATTGTGCCCCAACTCCACCTTAAGACCCCACCCATGTGCACCCAGGCTCAGGCCCCGCCCATGTGCACCCCAACTCTGCCCTGAGGCCCCGCCCATGTGCACCCAGGCTCAGGCCCCACCCATTGTGCCCCAACTCCACCTTGAGACCCCACCCATGTGCACCCAGGTTCAGGCCCCGCCCACATGCACCCCATCTCTGCCCTGAGACCCCGCCCATCTGCACCCCAACTCCACCCTGAGGCCCCGCCCACATGCACCCAGGCTCAGGCCCCGCCCATTGTGCCCCAACTCCACCTTAAGACCCCACCCATGTGCACCCAGGTTCAGGCCCCGCCCACATGCACCCCAACTCTGCCCTGAGACCCCGCCCATCTGCACCCCAACTCCACCCTGAGGCCCCGCCCACATGCACCCAGGCTCAGGCCCCGCCCATTGTGCCCCAACTCCACCTTGACACCCCACCCATGTGCACCCAGGTTCAGGCCCCGCCCACGTGCACCCAGGCTCAGGCCCCGCCCATGTGCCCCCCAACTCTGCCGAGGCCCCACCCATGTGCACCGGACCCCCCCTACAATTGCACCCCCACCCTCATCCATGCGGGACCCAGTCCTCAGCATCCGGCCAAGTCACATCACAGAGCTCAGTGAAACAAACAAGCAGGTAAAAATAAAACTTCACACAGGGGACGCTGTGGTCAACAGGAGGTTCCCAAAACAACAGCAGAGAGAGCCAGAGTGGAATTCAGGCCCTGGGGGAGCCTGCCATGTGGACGTGACAACCAGGAGCCCAGCCCCTCCACCCCAGCTCCTCACCCCCCACCACCAAACCTCATCTATCCCAGCCCCAAGGGCCTCCTGTGTGGGCACCCGACCCAGGCCGGCAACACTGGCAGGAACAGCCCAGAGCCCCACAGCTCCTGTGCGGATGAAACGTGACAACCGCCAGGCCCAGCCATGGACCTAGGACAGCCTGACCTCCGGGACAAATGAGGCAAACCAGGCTCTGGCCACTTCTGAGCCCGCCCACTCCACCCAAACCCAAAGGCGGTCCCTCCCGGACTCAGGTGCCAGTGAGGGGGCAGGAAGGGTCAGGGCTCAGAGGGGACAATGGCCCAAGCCACCACCGAGCACAGCAGCACCTGCCCGGGCCCTGCGTGAAAGGCTTCTTTCTCCCCCGCCAGCCCTGGGGACACCACTTCCTCTCCCCACCCAGCCCCCAACTCCCATTCCTCTGTCCTCAGTCGGGTCCAAAGAGCCCCCGCACCTGCAGCGGAAACCAGGGGCCGCCTTTCATGTCCTCCCGGCTCGCTCCACGGCAGATTCCTTTGTCCCTCCCAGACTGCAGACCAAAACAAGCAAGGGACTCATCCGTCCCCCCCGCCGTCACCGCACAGAGCAGGGACAACGAGGTCAGGGCCGCAGGGCGCCCTTCCTGGGGACCCTCTGACCCCCTTCTCAGCCGCACGCCCCTTGGGGAGTCTGTGGGAAGGGCAGTCAGGGGGGACATGCCCTGGCACACCCGTGTGTGGGGGGATGGCGGCTCACTGGGACAAGGGCCGACCTGTACTGGGAGGCAGCCTCGCCTGCCGTGATACCTGTCCCCACAACCCCCCTGGGGCCACCTGTCCCTGGTCCGCCTTCCCCTACAAAGCCAGGGCCTCAGACAATTCAGCTCCAGCCGACCCAGCTCAGAATCCCCACCTGGGTCCTCGTGTCACACAGGGGACAAGGGGGCACTGCGCCCACCCCTCTGTGGCCCCTGCTGGCCTGCCGGCCCTGGGCCTCTGGCCTCTCCAGTCTTCTCTGAGCAGAGGTGACCACAGGGACTGAGTGCGGAGTGCTTGGAGTGCTGTGGGAAGCCGCTCCGGGACAGAGGAGCAGGCCCTGTGTGGCCCCTCCAGGGCCATCCTCCAGGACCCAGGGCAGTCAGCGTATAGCAGGGACACTCACCAGACAGGCAGCCCTCCTGGTCAGGTAGCCGGCTCCACCCTGGGCAGCATCTGAGCACCGTGCGGGCTTCCGTGGTGTGCACCTGCCTGTAGCCTGTGTAGTAGATGATTCTAGAAGACACGAGAGACGGACAAGTGGATAATGCAGGGCCAGCGTCCCATCCGGAGACCAACTAATGCATGGGCTGAGCAGGCCCGGGGCCCCAGCTGCCCGGGAGCCTGTGGCAGGGCAGGACCCAGCAGGAGCGACCTCACACTGAGCCCTATGGGTGCTCAGTGACAGGGCCTCAGCCAGGAGCCCCGTCGATGGGACCGACCAAGGGACGGGATGCCCTCCTGCTGGCTGGGCCCACACATGGGAATCCCAAGCCGGCCCCAGCCCAGGCCCCAGGGTGGGGTGGGGGCTGACACAGCACACACACTAATCCAGCCAGCGGCCATGTCCCGGAAGCGAGTGTTGGTGCAAGCGGTCGCACACACAGGCCCTGGAAGCGCCTCTGGCAGGACATGAAACCACTTGCCCGGACAGACACTGGTCACAGCGCAAACAATGTCTAGCCGGCCGAGGCGTGTTAGGACAGCCAGCCGTGGGCTGCTCCCCAGGGGGAGTGCAGGCAGCTGCAGCCCCCACGGCCCTGCAAGAACAGGTCCCTCCATCCCTGGGAGCCCCATGCCTCTGCCCCCTTGGCCCTGCAGGAACGGGCCCCTCCGTCCCTGGGAGCCCCATGCCTCTGCCCCCTCGGCCCTGCAGGAACGGGCCCCTCTGTCCCCGGGAGCCCCACGCCTCTGCCCCCTCGGCCCTGCAGGAACGGGCCCCTCTGTCCCCGGGAGCCCCACGCCTCTGCCCCCTCGGCCCTGCAGGAACGGGCCCCTCTGTCCCTGGGAGCCCCACGCCTCTGCCCCCTCGGCCCTGCAGGAACGGGCCCCTCTGTCCCCGGGAGCCCCACGCCTCTGCCCCCTCGGCCCTGCAGGAACGGGCCCCTCTGTCCCTGGGAGCCCCACGCCTCTGCCCCCTCGGCCCTGCAGGAACGGGCCCCTCTGTCCCTGGGAGCCCCACGCCTGTGCCCCCACGGCCCTGCAGGAACGGGCCCCTCTGTCCCTGGGAGCCCCACGCCTCTGCCCCCTCGGCCCTGCAGGAACGGGCCCCTCTGTCCCTGGGAGCCCCACGCCTCTGCCCTCACGGCCACAGCACAGCCTGAGCCTGCTGGGAAGGACAAGTTCCGAGTGTCCCCTCCCTTCCTTCCCTCCCTCCTTCCTTCCTGTGCCCTCCGAGGGTGACAAGTCCTGGTGCTTGGCCTGGAGAACTCTGGCTGCCATGGTGATGGGACAGCCCGGGACACCGCTCTCGGCCCTGCCCATGGCCAGGCAGCGGCTGACCATCAGGGACCTGACCGTGTGGTCACAGGACCCTCAGCCCAGCCAACGCCAGGCGCGGAAACTGAAGCACAGACAGGCTCCGGAGCTTGCTGGAACTCAGGAGCTCAGACCAGCGTCCACCCTGGACCCCAGCCCCTCCTGGCCACCTGCCGGGGTGCTCCTCTACGCCAAGGGGGGCCCGGGGTGGATTTGGGCTTAGCAGCAGCTTTTGGCAGCTTCCAGCAAAGGCACTTTCCACAACTAGCCTGACGGTTCACCCAGTTCCCAACGGCCAATGCCACTCTGCTGCTCCGGAAACCCAAGCGGCAAGTCCATATCCGGGGCACACCGGGGCCTCGCCTCCCCTCCCGGAGTCAGGGCTGGGCCGTTCCTGCAGGGAGGGCAAGCTGCACCCTGGTGCCCTCAGACCCCACTTCACCTCTAAGTGCCAAACCTGTCTCCAGGCCCTGCCACTGTCCCACAGGAGGGGACAACTGTGTGCCCCGTGAGGCACTGTGAGGGCTGCACCCCCATGCCCCATCACCGGGCGAACTTCAACACCCTCAGATGATAACATGCAGGCCTCCCCCACCTCAGCCCAGACACTGCCCCCCTGGCCCTGCGGCCTGAGGTCACAGACGCAGGGGCGGGCTGTGGAGCCCCAGGCCTCTGCCAGGTTTTGAAGCTGTCTTAAGCAATAGAAGTTCTCACTTGGACATGGGCAGGGAGCCCAGGGGTCAAGTGGCACCAGTCTCCAGGAGGGGCAGTGCCTGGGGGGGCTACCCCTCCCTGGCAGAGGAGCTTGCTGCAGCCTGGACTGGCCCATGAGCCTCACCTCCATCAGCGCAGGTGACCCTGAGGCGAGGCCCCCAGTTCCAGCTGCCCAGTCCCCAGAGGTCACCCCCAGGCCCCCTTCAACCTAGGGTCCCCAGCACGTACCTCCGCTCATGGCTGACACACCATGCCTGCCACCTGCAGCCCGGCTTCCACACGGGCACCACACGGCTGAAGGCCTGCACGCAAGGCAGCTGGCGGCCCACCAGGGTCAGTTCTTGCTCGGCACACACGTGAGGCCTGGGACAGGATGGCAGCATCAGTGCCCCGCCCTGAAGCAGGCTGCTGGCACCCCGCCCCTGACAGTCCCGAGCCAGACACCTCAGCTCCCTGCACACCTGCAGCCGGGTGGCCCCTGCCGGGCACAAAGCCCGCCCCACTTGCCCAGCAAGGGCCCTGCTGTGGCTCGGCAGTTTCTCTCCTGACAGCACTGTCTTCGCCAGTGTGGGGTAGGGGAAGGTGGCAGGGGTCCGGCCAGCTCCTGGGGCCGCCACCCCTGCAGACACGGAACGCAGCAGTCTCTGAGGAGCCGGCAGTGACAGGGGACACAGAGGGAAGGAACCCCTCCCCTAGCCTCCCTCCAACCCCACCGAGAGCTCAAGGGACAAGACACCAAGGCTGCTGCGGCCAGGCCACAGGTGGGCACAGGCCCCAGAGCACGTGCCAGCCCCAAGTGCCCTAAGGGAGAGCCAAGGTGGCCTCCACTGCGGCAAATCCCGCAAGGGCCGGCTGACCTCAGCGTCCATGAGCCACGGGACCCATGTGGTATCTGGAGGAGACGGGGCTGGTCCTGCACAGCCAGGCCCTGGGCCCACTGCCCAGCACGAGGGGCCAGGCACATACCTACCTGTATGGCAGGGCTGCAGCAAGCCCGGTGGGTCCCAGTGCCTGGGCCCCCTCCTGCCAGCAGAGCCAGCCCTGCCCCTGACCGCCCACTCTCTGCCTGAGGACACTGAGCACACCCTTACGCTCTGCGGCTAACAGTCCAGCGGGCAGCTCCACCCCACGTGGGGAGGCATCCCCACTCACTCTGGGAGCTGGGAGACCCCGACCCTGGCCACAGGGCAGCTGCCTCTGGACCCCAGTATGTGTCCTCTGACTTGAGTCACCTTCTGGGTAAGTGCCTGCTGAGCACTGGCCGCCTTGAAGTGGACGGGGAGGAACTGCCCGGGGCAGGGCTCCACCCCGCAGGACTCCGAGGTGTGGGGTGCCACCAGGGCCGCTGTACAGCACCTGGACCCCAGCCCAGGCTCTGTGGTGCCCCCTGCTGCCCTAGCAGATTCCTACACAGGGGTGGAGGGGGTGCTTGCCAGTGGGGGGCTCCTGGGCACAGCTCCAGGAACTTCCCAGACATGACATCACACGGGACGTCCCGGGTTCCCCACGGTGTGCGCTCTGCCTGAGGCCAGCAGACAAGCTGGAGCAGAGGCTGGCCTCCACGCCTCTCCCAGCCCCGGACAGAGGCCGCCAGGGGCCACAGTCCCCGCGGCCGGCTGGAGGGCAGCTCAGGGTCTTGGGGCACCGTCACCAGGGAGGAGTCCTCCTTCCTCCGCTCCCGCCTCATCAGGCCACAGCACGGACATGGACGGTCCCCAGGAAAGCCCACGGCCACAGATGATGCTCACCTATACCTGCACGCATCTGTCCTTCAGTCCACCAGTAGTGTTGGCCAACGAGGGCAGCAAAGGAAGAGGGTGGAGGGGCGGGTGGCTGGGGTCCCCCGGAAGCGGGGTGGTGAGGGTCTCAGGCCCAGCCCCAGCCTTGGAACAAGAGCACCAAGCTGGGGTCTCAGGAGGGTAGCAGCCAGCTGGGCTTGGCGGCTGGCAGCCACGGGGAAGTTATCACTGCCCCACTCGCCCAGCGTCCACCAAGGGGTGCCAGGACAGCACACACCTTCAAGACTCCAGCAAACCAGGGGGCGGGGGCACATGCAGCAGGGACCCAGCCCCAGTCACGGCCACGCCCTCATGCTGGTGGGCTCACACCACGGGGCTCAGGGTCCTTCCTCTAGGAGCGTGGGGACTTCCAGGAGCTGGGCAAAATCCAGCCACAGGGGAAGGGGAGACAAGGCATGGGGGTAACACCCCAAGTGGGACCTGTCTTGACTGTCCTGTTGAACCCCCGGTTACCAGCAAGATGACCACCCCAAGGGGCTCTCCCCATCCAACCTGGCCCCACACAAGGTCTCCCAGCAGCCTGCTCAGGTCACACCCCCAAGAAGCTATCCCCCAGCAGGGTCTCTGCAGGGTCCGAGGGCTCCTGGGCTGCCCAGCACAGCCTCTGGCCCTGATCGGGGCAGCGCGGGCTGTCAGGAGCCCCAACGCCCTGGGCAGCCCACCATGGCAGCTGCACACTTCTCCCGGTGCCTGGCCCCCTCGCACACAGCTCCCGGGCAGTGACCACGTCAAAGCAAGGGGCCATTTGGGTCCATCTCTCTGCCCACCTGGAAGAGCCGGCCACGACAAAGCCCAGTGGACCTAGTAGCTGGACACAGTCTCCATTCTTAGCTGCTGTCCACCCTACACTCCCCTACCCCATCCCATCTGGAGGCAGGATGTCACTTCCTGACCCTGAGGGACCCAGCGGTCGGGCCGTCTGCTCTGCGGGCCGGAGCAAGGCAGACGCTGCGCACCAAGGCGGGCGTGCACATCCAAGAACCAGCAGGCAGCGCCAGCAGTCAGAGGGCGGTGGCTGGCACAGGCACCCCGACACACCATCCCGCACCCCGCCTCCACCCTCACCTCCCCCTGCCTGGGTGCAGCCAGCTCATGGTGGGGGAGCCCAGTTCTGGTCCAGCTCCCCTGCCTGCTGACTTGGGCATGTAGCTTGAAGCTGTGCTGGGGCGCCCAGCCACTTGCTGCCAGCAGCACGGACCCCCACCTGCCTTGGAACACCTGGGCCCCAGCAAGGAGCTTTGGCACAGCTGCCCAGGCCCCTCACAGTGACACCTGGTGTGGCTGGGCGCGGCCTTCCGGCAGGAAGGGACTCAGCCAGGTGGGCCTTGGCCCCAGCCTAGTGGAACACAGCCCCTACCCACAGTGGTCCCACTGCGTGCCCAGGCACAAGGAGGTGCTCTCTGATAAAACACTTGTGGGAAAATACAGCTAGCTCCTAGGAATCTGAGAGAGAAATAAAAGGTCTGGGGGGAGGGGAGCGAGGAGAGGGGGAGCGTTAAGATTCCACTCCTGCAATCCATCCCAAACTGGTTCAAAGCCCCTGCCTTCCTTCCTGGAGCCCCAGGTGGACAGGCAGAAGTGGGGCGTCCTCTCCCCCAGGCCTCAGGCCAGGAGGCAGGTGGGGGTCAGATGCCCCAGCACCCTGTACCCACCTGGGAAAGCCCCAGGGAAGGGGAGCCAGCAGTGGGATCCACACGCCAAGGACTCCCACGTCCCCACCCACCCCCGGTCTTCTTGAACCGGCCACCAGGCAATCTCCCCATGGGAGCAGAGCAAGATGGGGGCGGGGTGGGGGAGTTCCAGAGTGCAGACCCCCAGGGGCCCGGCTGGCCTGCTCTTCCCTCCCCCTCTACACTGCCTTCGAGGGAACCCTTGGAGGGGCAGGTGCCAGAAGAGCCCCTTCCGTGGTCCCCTCAAGACTGGCAGCAGCCTGGCCAAGCTCTGCAGGCATGCCCCAGTCCTGACCCGGCCGACGCAAGGACGAACGAATGCTAAACACCCCTTTGGGGAATCATCTTTCAAAATTACATTCATCTCGTCTGGTCCCCTGGCCCTCCCTTCCTGCTTGCCTTCCCTGGCAGGCTCGGAGCGCACGTGTTGGACAGACACAGCCAGCCGCTCCGCGCGCCGTCGGGGCGCAGCCCGCCCCGGGCCCCCGGGAGGCGGCTCGGGGAGGAAGTGGGAGCGCGCGCCTTCCCCCCGCCGGCGCCGAGCCCGGCTCGCCGGCCAGCGCTGCCCCGGCAGGAGGCTCCGGCCGCAGACCCCTCCCCGGAGCGCAGGGCCCAGCCCGGGAACCTCGGCCCCCTCCGCAGGCGGCGCAAGCAGCCCATTGTTCTGGTGCCCGGGGACAAGGCCGCCGAGCTCGGTCCAGGTCCGGCCGCAGCCCCCGGCCCGAGTCCGCCCCCGCTTTACTCACATGCTGGGCTGCAGCGGGGGCAGGAGCCGCGCCGGCTCGCCCGCAGCCACCGCGAGGAGCAGCAGCACCAGCGCCAGGGCCTCCGCGGGCACAGGCATCGCGCGCGCCGCCTCGCGCCGGGGTCCTCCCCGGTCCCCACTCACAGGGGGCCCCGCAGTTCCCCGGGAACCGCCGCCTGCACGTGCGTCATGGCCGAGAGCACGCTCGGAGCGCAGCCCACAGGTGCCCGCGCCGCGTCCGGGGAGCCCGGGGTCGGCGCAGGTGCGGAGGGTCCGGCCGGCTGTCCGCACCCGAGGCGCCTGGGTCTGCTGGGCCGGACGCTGCCCCGCTGAGCAGAGCCGAGTGCGGGGCCCGGCGCCCGCAGCCCCGCCCCGCACGGCCTCGGCCCCGCCCCGAGCCCCCTCGGGCCTCCCGCTTCCAGGCCCGCCCGTCCGGAGCGCCCCCTTTGCGCTCTTGGCTCGGCTCCGACCCAAGTGCGGACCCAGCAAGTCGCTCTGAGCTCCTTCCTTTTTGATCTGCACGGGGAGCCTGCTGGTGCACCTGCGTCCGAAGCTACCCCACCCCTGGAACACGTGGCCCAGCGGGTGTCCCCAGCTCCGGGTGCCCTGTGGCTTCAGGCCTTGGCTCAGAACGCACTTGGTCCAGGTGGACGGAGGACCAGGTGGCCCAGGGGCATGCCAGCTGTTTCTGATGAAAGCCAGAGAAGTTCCATCTGGGTTGAGTTCTTGTGTGTCACCGGGGCCCAGGGCAGTGGCCAGCCCGGGCAGACCCAGTGCCCCGTCCCGGGGCCCAGGGCAGTGGCCAGCCCAGGCAGACCCAGTGCCCCGTCCCGGGGCCCAGGGCAGTGGCCAGCCCAGGCAGACCCAGTGCCCCATCCCGGGGCCCAGGGCAGTGGCCAGCCCAGGCAGACCCAGTGCCCCGTTTGACAGAGGGGTACTGGGCACGTGGGGACCCCTCCCTGGGCTCTGCACTCTGCTGCCTGCACATCCCAGCCAAAGGATGGGCTGCCCAGGGGGTCCCAGTCCAGGCAGCAGCTCCACCTGACCTGACCTCTACCCTTCAACCACCACCCTCCACTGCCTGGCATCGCTGTACCCCCAAGGTGCTGAGCTCCTGGTGCCCCCCCCCCAGGCACCAAGCCCCGTTCAGGGGGCTGAACACAGGGCCTGGCTTGGGGGACCTTCACTTAGCTGTCTCACGGGTGCAAGTTTGGGGTGTGTGTACCCGTGATTGAAGGTGATTTGTGGCCTCAGGGAATTCTCCAGCATTGGGCCCAGCGCTGTGGCCTAGTGGCTAAAGTCCTCGCCTTGAATACGCTAGGATCCCATATGGGCGCAGGTTCTAATCTCAGCAGCTCCATGTCCCATCCAGCTCCCTGCTTGTGGCCTGGGAAAGCAGTTGGGGACAGCCCAAAGCTTTAGGGACCCTGCACCTGCTGGGAGACCTGGAAGAGATTCCTGGCTCCTGGCTCCCGACTGGCACAGCTCCAGCCGTTGCAGTCACTTGGGGAGTGAATCATCGAACAGAAGATCTTCCTCTCTGTATATCTGACTTTGTAACAAAAAATAAATCTTAAAAAAAAAAAAAGGAAATCCTCCAGCAAAGATTGGTTGGCTCCTGTGGGGTTGGAGGGTGGTCTCTGGACAGGGCGGGACCCGGCTTTTGCACAATGTTGGCCCACTCTGCAGCAGACGCTCAGTGGGCTTCTCCCTTCTGCTGGGGGCCAAGTTCAGCCACCCGATGCGGGGCTCTCAGCAGGTGCCAGGTGGGCTGCCACTGTCCTGCTGCCACTGCGTGTGGTTGGTACACCTGCCATCCCTTGCCCCAGGCCTTGTCCCTCTTCCCATGAGCCCTCTGGGCAGTCCGTGGACTCCTCAGACGTCATTCTTCAGCAGTTGTAATGACGCCCCTTTGCACTGCAGACCAAGGAAGGCCCCTGCCGACAGCTGGCTCCTCTGCCCAGCCCGTCTCCCCTGCCCACTGCAGAGGATGGACATACCCCCTCGAAGGCAGAGCAAGCTCAGAGCAGAGCCCTATTCACAGTGTCATTCGCTGCATCACTCCCCAGGGCGGGGACGGGGGAGCTCACTCCAGGAGCCAGGAGCTCCTTGCACGTGCCCCCGTGGGAACATGTGCCCTCGTGGGTGGCGGGGGCCAGGCAGACACGGGAGCCAGGAGCTCCTTGCGCATGCCCCGGTGGGAACATGTGCCCTCGTGGGTGGCGGGGGCCAGGCAGACATGGGAGCCAGGAGCTCCCTGCATGTGCCCCCATGGGAGTGTGTGCCCCCATGGGTGGCAGGGGCCAGGCAGACACAGCAGCCAGGAGCTCTGTGCGCATGCCCCCGTGGGTGGTCGGGGCTCAGAGGCTGGCACCACCTCTTCCTGTCTGCTCCCAGGTCTTAATTAGCAGGAAGCTGGGGTCATAGGCAGAAGTGGGATTCAAATCAAGCCACTACACAGGGGACGTGGGGGTCCTGGCCTGGGGTGTGAGCACAGGGCCGCCACCTGCTTCCGTGTCATGACCTCAGTGGACACACAGGGCCCACGGACTCTTCTCCACGAAGTGCCCATCATGGTCCTTCTCCAGGCAGGAGACAACGGGGGACACTTACTGCTGGCACTGTGCGCCCTGTGGCTCCGTGTCAGGTTAAACACAGGTACTGACCATGCACATTCCCTCTCCCTGCCCTGTGCCACCCAGACCAGGCCACAGGCCACCCAGCGAGCCTCCCAGCAGCTCACCAACAGCAGGACTGCGTGATGCCAGCCAGGCCCACGCCTCTCAGCTTACCCCAGGCTATATCTGTCATTCTCACCCATCATTTTTCTTTTTAAAAGCATATTTATCTGTTTGAAAGAGTGACAGAGAGAGCTTCCATTTGCTGGTCCACTTCCCAAACAGCTGCCAAGGCCAAGGCTGGGACAGTCCGAAGCCGGGAGCCTTACTTCCCAGGCGGGTGCAGGGACCCATGGCCTTGGGCCATCCTCCGCTGCTTTCCCAGGTGTGTTAGCAGGAGTCGGAAGTGCAGCAGCCATGCGCATGGGGCTCCCAGGCAGGAATCTGACCCTCCCCTTGCTTGTCATTGTTCCAGGTTAAGCCGGGGACTCGTCACCCACTCTCTGTCCCTCTGCCCCTGCGACTCCTGTAACTGTCCCGGTTAGCTGGAGCATCACAGTAAGGACACCTTGGACGGGGTGGGATGCAGGCTGACCTGGGGCCCCTCTGAGCACACGTCGGTCTGTGCAGGGCACTGCCCTCCGGCGGGGCACAGCGGCCTACCCACAGCTTCTGGGAGACCAGCCTAAACCCCATCCTGGAAGCCTTCATTCAGCGGGAACGCCTGAGCTGTGGAGTGCTTCCTACCAGCTTCATCAGCAGGAAGCTGGGGTCAGCAGCTGCGGCTGGGTTGTGGGAAGCAGGGGTGTCCGCAGGGGTCTGCGGCCGGTCCCCTCCTCCGTCCTGTCAGTCCCAGAGGCCTGCAGGTGGCACACGCTCGGCAGTCCTTGGTGTGGCCTGGAGCTGCCTGCTTCCACATCTGGCTGACCAAGGCTCCAGCTTGAAGTCGCTGCTTTGCAGTGTTTGTGTCTCATTGGCAGCTGGAAGTCATGCAAACAGCCTTTAGCCGGAGGGGACGGAGCAGAGTCGAGCCACGTCTGTGGGTCTGGTCGTTCCCAGCACTAATTCCCAAAGCAAAGTGCTCAGGCCTGCAGCTTGGCATGAACCTGCACGAAATGAGAGACACCCTGAGCGCCCCAACTCTGCAGCTCCAGGGAGCTTGTCCGGCATTCCGTCTGACTCAAGCATGAGGGAAGCAGCTCAGGCCATGGCTGCGAACAGGTGCCCACAGCCGTCCCTGGGGACTCTGCACGCAGCCGGCATGGGGAGGTCTCCAGAAACCCCGCGACCCAGAGCACTAAGGGCGCTGAGGTCCGTTCACAGCTTGGCAGCTTGGCCTGCGCAGAAGTGAGCTTGTGGGACGAGACACTTCTGCTCCCAGGTATGCAGGGCCATGGGCAGCCCAGCAGCGGGGCTGCTGCTTCTGCCAGCAGAGGCCTGAGCTGGCACGGACGACACACCTGCCCGTGTCTGGTGGACTTGTGGCTGCCTCGTGGTGTCATTAAGGAAGCCTCTGAGGACCAAGTGTTCGACACCTGAGCCTCTGGGAATGGAGGCCCAAAGTGTGGCAATTTCCAAGCCTCTGAACTGTCGCTGCAGAAGAGGCACCCAAGCTCCTGGGAGACGGAGGGGGCAGCTTGCCATAGTGTATGCCAGACCGCCCATTCAGGCATGCCTCCCCCTTGCCGACACACCTGCTGTCTCTCCTGGCCCTCACTTGCATCTCGTCTGTCAAGTCCTGGTCTCGCTCACCTGCCACAGACCAGGTCTTGAAACCCGGCCCCAGCACCTCCTCATGCAGGCATTCTGCTGGGTACGGAGCAAGCAGGCTGCAAGCTGCCTTGGAAGGTGGACACACAGCCCTGCTCCTGGGGGTCAGCATCGTGGAAGGGCAGGACCTAGCCACAGCGAACACCTGGGCGGGGATACCCCAGGACCCACACCTGTGACCTCACCAATGAAGGACCCACGATGACACCATGGGGGGAGGGGAGGGTGGAGGCTTGAGGGAGCAAGAGCCACACCTGCCAAGCTAACCAGAGGAGCACAGATGCCCGCGGGCAGCTTCCTGATCCCCCTGCCCTGAACACCACTCGGCCCAGCCTCCTCCAGGCTCCCATGCACCAGGAAGACACGGCTGACTGCCAGGTGAGGCCTTCCCACGGGTCCCGTGGGCACTGGAACCACACACACCCCAGCTGGAGCCAGGCAGGTCAGGGGTGTCCCGCAGCCTGAGCCCGGGCTCCAGGCCAAGAGGCCTGGCCGTTCAGATGCTGGATCCCTTGTCCCCTCCTCTGCAGGGGTGGGGTGGGGGGCAGGCAGGATGTCTCCCTGTTGAGGTCTCACTCCTGCCTCCTGCTGTGGCTAAACTCCAAGAGGAAAGACAATGTAACAGCTTATAGCCGCCAGGCAGGAAGGCAGAGCAGCAGAGAGGAGGGCGCCTAGGGTGTCCCGTGGAGGGGGATGTGGAGGGCGCTGCTGCCCAGGACCCCCCATGGGGAGCCCCTCCCAGCAGTGCCCCAGCCAGGCCGAGGGCCCACTGGGACGGGCCAGTTTGGCAAAGCACTAACCCATAACATCTAGAGATGAAGACCGGAGGCGTGATGGCATCTGGGGATGGGGGACAGCGCCGGGGCGATGCTGCCACCTGCTGGCGGCCAGAGAACACCTGCTAGGGCTGAGAGTGGGGCCAGATCTCGGGGACCCCCAAGCTGGGGACCCCCATCCCAGCCTGTGCATGTGCAGAGCGAGGATCTCAGCTGCAGCTGTGGCCCCTTTTGCATCCGGGTGGTCCCCAAAAAGACACCATTGAATTTAGGTAGAGGACAAGTCAGAGTGGACATGTCCCCTGGGCTGTTCTGACCTAAAGAGGAGGCAGGGTGGGACCCCCAGGTCTCCCCCAGGAGCGGGCTTCTGCTCCAGGCCTGGCAGGAGCCCCCAGGTCTCCCCCAGGAGCGGGCTTCTGCTCCAGGCCTGGCAGGAGCCACAGGGTGGACTGTCCCTCAGCCGCCCCTGTGCCTGCTGCCTGCTCATCACCCATCCCAGCACCTCTCCAGCTGGTGGCCAGACGAGCCACTTCCTGCACCCACAGCAGGCTGGGGCACGTGCGTCTCCATCCTCACAGGGCACCTGGGGGCCGTGGAACCAACCAGCCACACTGCTGCCCTGTCCTGTTCCTGCTGCCCCCGCCCCACCACCGACCCCAGGCCCAGCTCTCTCCTGCCGACGGCTCCCACCTTCTGGTCGCACCCACGGACCTCCCTGCAGAGCTTGGGGGCTGCCCCCGCTGCGCCATGCGGACGCTGCCCTGGCTGTGGGTGCAGAAGGCCTCTCGGTGCCCAGACCAGCCCACAGCACCCCCTCCCCCCTTTAGCAAGAACCTGCCTTCTCTGACCTTCCAGCAGGGTCAGCAGGGGTCAACCAGCTGACCAGTGGACAGACTGGACACAGTTGCAGACCCAGGTGGGGAAGAGGCTCTTAAGGCAGCAGCAGCAGCAGCTGTCCAGGGCTCTGCCCTGCCAGGCCAGCGGCACAGCGTCCTACACACCTGCTCTCCTCTACACAGCACCTGGCTTCGTGGGTCCACCGCTGTTGCCTAGTGGTTAAAGTCACTGCCTGTGGTGCCAGCATCCCACACGGGCGTCGGTTCGTGTCCGGGCTGCTCCACTCCCCATCCAGCTCCCTGCTCGTGGCCTGGGAAAGCATCAAGGACGGCCCAAGGCCTTGGGACCCTGCACCTGTGTGGGAGACCCGGAGGAGGCTCCTGGTCAGCTCAGCTGAAGCCGTTGTGGCCCCTGGGGAGTGACCAGCAGCCCGGCCCCTCCTGCAGAGCAGCAGCACCGAGAGCAGAAACCCAAGACCCCCCAGCTGCGCAGGGGGCCGGCAGCAGGGCGCAGTGACCACTGCCCGGGGCAGGCTGCGCGGCCGCAGGGGGAGCCCGGCGGGACCACGGGCTACAGGCGCGTGGCGGGGAAGGACACAGAGGGTGGGTCACCCCCGGCCAGGGGACCCCCGGCCTCACTGTCCCAGCCCACCTCGGCTGCCCTGCCACACCCCCAGCGCCCGCCCCGCAGCGAGCCGCTCCTAGCGCCATGGCAACCGCCCGCCACGGGCCAACAGGAAGCGGGTGTGCCCCGAGCGGACCCGCGCCGTCCTGGGCCCACCCACTTCCTCCTATAAACAGGAAGCGGGTGTGTGCGCGGCGGCTGCTTCCGGCGCCGTGACGGGCGGGGGTGGTTGTGAGCGGCGTCGGGTGGAGCCAATCGTGGCTGGCGGCTGGAGACGAGCCAATGGCAGGGGGCTGCTGGCTCGGCGGGGCGGGCCCGTGGGCGGGGCGGTGTCGGGTGACGCTGCGGCGCGGACGGGCGGTGTCGGGTCGGGGTCCGCCGCGGGAGTCGGGCCGGGCCTGGCGGCCACGGCTTCGGCCATGCTGCAGTTGCGGGACTCAGTGGACTCGGCGGGCACGAGCCCCACGGCCGTGCTGGCGGCCGGCAGTCCAGGCGGGGGGCGGCCCGGGGCAGGCACGCCGCTGCGCCAGACGCTGTGGCCGCTCAGCGTGCACGACCCGACGCGCCGCGCCCGCGTCAAGGAGTACTTCGTGTTCCGGGTGAGGGCCTGGGGTGTCGGGGGTGTCGGGGGTGTCGGGGTGCTGGGGCCGAGGGTGCCAGCTGGGCCGGGGGCGGCGGGGATGCCAGCTGGGCCGGGGGCGGCGGGGATGCCAGCTGGGCCGGGGGCAGAGGTGCCAGGTGGGCCGGGGGCAGAGGTGCCAGGTGGGCCGGGGGCGGGCGTGCCAGGCAGGCGGGCCGGGGCCAGAGGTGCCAGGCGGGCCGGGGCCAGGGGTGCCAGGCGGGCCGGGGGTGGCGGGGGTACCAACTGGGCCGGGGGCGGCGGGGATGCCAGGTGGGCCGGGGGCGGGCGTGCCAGGTGGGCCGGGGGCGGCGGGGGTACCGGGGGTGTCGGCGGTACCGGGCCGGGTGCTGGGTGGGTCGGGGCGGCAGGGTTCCAGGGCCGGGGATGAGGAGGGCAACCGAAATGCCAGGGATGCTGGGGCCAGGGGCGCTGGATGGGCCGGGGACGGCCAGGGTGCCGGGGGTGCCAGCTGGGCCGGGGGCGGCGGGGGTACCAGGCGGGCCGGAGTGTCGGGGGTGCCGGGGGTGTCAGGGCCGGTGCTGCCCCCCCGAGAGTGACCGCGCCCCGGCCCTGCCCAGCCTGGCACCATCGAGCAGGCCGTGGAGGAGATCCGCGTGGTGGTCCGGCCCGTGGAGGACGGCGACATACAGGGCGTTTGGCTGCTGGCCGAGTAAGCCCGGGCTGCGTGGGGGTCTGCCTCTTGGGGCTCCTGGTGTGGGTCCATGCCCACCTGTCCCTGTTCCTTCCCACAGGGTGGACCACTGGAACAACGAGAAGGAGCGGCTGGTGCTGGTCACCGACCAGTCGCTGCTCATCTGTAAGTACGACTTCATCAGCCTGCAGTGCCAGCAGGTGGTGAGGGTGGCCCTGAGCGCAGTGGACACCATCTCCTATGGGGAGTTTCAGTTCCCCCCCAAGTCCCTCAACAAGTAAGTGGCGGGGTGGGGGTGTGTTGGTCAGCCACCAGCGGGGTCCCCTAGGTGACATCTCAAGATAGGGGTGGGTGGGCGGGTAGGTGCCTGGGTCGTATGGAGGTGGAGCCCAGTGTGGGCACAGCTCCCTGGGGCTGGTGGGTGTGAGGTTGGTGGTGGCAACACCTCTGGATGCCTGGGTCGTGTGGAGGTGGAGCCCAGTGTGGGCACAGCTCCCTGGGGGATTCCTGAGCCCAGGAGGGGGAGTTCGGGGAATAAGCACCCCAACCGCGAGAGGCCCTGGAGGAGGAGGATGGTGATGGCCCACTGCCTGCTTGCTCTGGTAACAGGCTAGCTCTGGCGCATGCCAGCTGCGGTCAGTCCGCGGTCAGGGTCCCCAGGGCGTGGACTCCAGAGGCTGTAGCTGAGCAGAGAGTCGGCGGCTGTGAGGGGCCCAGGCCTCATCTCTCACTGCAGACCCACTGCCCTCACTCAGGCGGGAAGGTTTCGGAGTTCGGATCCAGTGGGACAAGCAGACCCGGCCGTCATTCCTGAATAGGTGGAACCCCTGGTCCACCAATGTGCCCTATGCCACCTTCATAGAACATCCGATGGCCGGGCTGGATGAGAAGACGGCCTCCCTGTGCCAGGTGAGTGCCTTGGCCCACACTGCCTGGGGCAACAGCCACCTGCTGCCCTTGGCACCTGCCGTGTGGCCAGCCACAGCCAGGCAGCAAAGCTGGCCTGGATTTTAAAAAGATGTGTTTCAAAGATGGCGATCAAAGTGGGAGGTTCTATGCACTGCTTTACCCCCAGACACCACGAGAGTCGGGCTGGGCCAGACGGGGCAGTGGCCTGAGGACTCAGCAGTGACCAGTGCAGCCCTTGAGCAGGCAGCTGGACTCAGAGTGGCAGCCTCTCAGCTTGCGCCTGGCCCTGTACTTGATGCTAAAAGCAGGGCGGCAGACAAACAGGAAGCTTCCATCTGCTGGTTTGCTCCCTAAGCAACGCCTGCACTGGTTCCGCCTGGGCCTGGAGCTCCGTCCTGTGTCCCCTGGCGGGCTGAGACAGCTGGGCCTGGAGCTCCGTCCTGTGCCACCTGGGGGGCCAGGACCTGCCCCAAGGTGGGGGGGGGGCACTTGAATCCAGATCCTCTGCTGTGCGATGTGGGTGTGCAGGCAGTGCTGTGACGTCATAGTCCCCTTGAGCTTGTGGACTGCGTGTGGCCCTGGCACGTGGCGCTGTGCTGCTGGCATCCTTCCTGCTGGGGGACAGGTGGTGTGGGTGTGAGCCAGGGGCAGGAGAGGCCAGAGCCTGGGTCTGCACGGATGCAGTGGGAGTGTGGGCAGAACCGCTGAGACCCGCAGGGGACGAGGGCATGGTGGTGCCGGCTCTGGCGCCACGGAGGGCATGGCAGGTGGCTGTCGGGTGGCTGTCGGGCACATGGGCCCAGAGGGTTCCCCAGAAGCAGGAGTGTGCAGAGCCGTGTCTGGGGTGACGTGGCCTCCATCGGCTCTCTCCACAGTTGGAGAGCTTCAAGAGTTTGCTGATCCAGGCAGTCAAGAAAGCGCAGAAGGAGAGCCCGCTGCCGGGACAGGACGGCGGCGTGCTGGTCCTGGAGCGGCCGCTGCTCATCGAGACCTACCTGGGCCTCATGTCCTTCATCAACAATGAGGCCAAGCTCGGCTACTCCATGACGCGGGGCAAGATCGGCTTCTAGCCCGCCTGTCCCCACTCCTGCGGTGGCCGGGATCCGAGTAGTCAGCACAGGGAGGGAAGTGTGTGTGTGTGTGTGTACGTGGACACCTGGCAACAGTCTGCAGCAGAAATGAACCATGCTGTCTCGTCCTGCTGGTGCCCGCTCTTCGTGGTCCTGTGCCCGTCCGCGTCATCCACGCGGCATGCCGCCCTTCCTGTGTGCCCCTGCCCATCAGTGTGGAGACCGAGGTGTGGGCGGTGCCAGCTGCTGCAGCCATTCACATCTGGTGGCAAATTTTGTATTTTGGAATTTCACCTGTTTTCTAAAAGTGACAGGCAAAGCAGGTCACTCTCAAGCTGGCCCAGCCTGGCCTCGCAGCCGCGGGGGACAAGTGGGCGGGTCAGTGCTGATGTCATGCCTGCTCTGACACTGGCCTGAGCTGTGCACCATGGCATTCCCCCCAGCTGGGAAAGCCTCGCACGCCCCAGACTGGTACCCCCAGGTCCCTGACAGCGCTGGCCACTCCGCACCCTGGGTTTGCCTCGTTTATGCTTGCAAGGAAGCTGGTTTCTACAGAATGTACTGTGAAGCAGGCACTGTGCCAACCCTCTTGCAGCCCACGCCTCCCCAGGCTCTGCCCACCTGAAGCCCTAGCTCAGTGCCCCCCCCCCCGCGCAGCTTGCTCACCACAGATGCTTGGCGCTGACCACCAGCGCCCCCTCCTGCTCCCGGCCAACGCGCGTGAGACTGGCCTGTGTAGGTGGTCACTCAGTAAAGATGTTCCTAACCAAACGCATGTTGCCCCTTTTTTGCAGTCACTGGGACAGAGCTGTGCAGTAACGGCCAGCACACGCTCTGCGGCTGGATGGGGCGGGGGCTCCCCTAGGTCCTGGGCTTTCTGCATGTAGCCAGGGTAGACATGGTTGTGCAGGGGAGTGCCCTGCAAGGGCTCGGCCAGCTGCTGGGAGCTCTGTCTGGGGAGCCCCCACGCAGGAGGCGGGACGCTGGGAATCACCCTGGCTAAGGCAGGCCAGGACTCCAAGCGCAGCGGGGCTGGTCGGTGTTAGCACTCCATTCCCATGAAGCCACCAGTCCGCCCTGGGACTGAAGCAGAAATATCCAGGAAACCACCCTGGGCTGGAGGCCTTCAAGCAGGAAGAGCACAAAGTTACAAACCAGAAATATTTATTTTAAATAATAAAAGAATGGCGAAGGCCTATGTATTTACAAAAATGCTATACTATAAAAAAATAGAATCCAGATGCTGCCAGTGAACCTTGCAGCTGGCCAGCTCCCCAGGCCAGGACCGCACTGCCTACGAGTCGCAATCCCACGTGCGACTGACCCGCTGCCCAAGGGCTGGGGCTGACCCCTCCTCCGTCTCCAGGAAGCAGAGGCAGAAGTGGTCCTTGCTGAGGAGTGCCAGCGAGTCCCCACTGAGATGCCAGCTCAGAGAAAGCACCGCAAAGTCTCCTGGAGAGAGGTGGTCAGTTAGGACAGGGGCCAAAGGTGTGGGTGACTTGGGTTGGGGAGGCAGGCTGGAGGCCAGAGCCACCCTCCTCCGCTGCCAGGGGACACACGGGCAGAGCCACCCTCCTCCGCTGCCAGGGGACACACGGGCAGCCTGCAGGTGCTCACCTTCCACAGGCACCTGCACGGACACACAGCCGGCCCGTGACCACAGGTACACCCTGCAGCCACCCGTGCAGATGGCCAGCCGTGGCTGTTGCGGGTCCCACTGGAATGCACGCACGGGGGCCAGGTGTTCTAGCACCACGAAGAGCCGAAGCTTCTGGATGTCCCAGACCCACACGGCGTTGGGCACGTTGTCTGGGAGGGAAGGGGACGTCGGGTCAGCCCAGCTCTGCGAGTGCAGCAACACAGCGGCTTTGCCGGGCAGACCGGACCACTGCTCGTCGCAAGAAGGCAGATGGAGCCGGGGCGCAGGGGGCTGGCTGGACGGGGGCTCTGGCCGCACAGCACCCACCACCCGGCCAACCATCCCCACTCGGCACCACAAGGGGCACAGACCGTTCCTCGTGGCCAGGAAATAGTTGTCGGGGCTGAAAGCCAGCATGCCCACGCCGATCCTGGGGTTTGCCCGGTCAGCGACGGGCTTCAGTGTCTGCAAGGAAACCGGCATGGCAGCGACGCTGTCTGGAAGGGCAAAGGTGCACACTGCTGCTGCCGGTCGTGGAGGCTGCCAGGGCCAGGGCACCCAGTGCTCCCCCGGGGCCGGCTTACATTTGCTGTCTGAGGCTGAGAGGGGCCTGGACGGTGGGAACGGCAGGGGGCCCAGTGCCAGCTGCGAGCTCGTCTCGGCTTCTTTATAAACAACCTGGAAGACACAGAGGGACCGCCACAGGCTGCAGCATGGTGACTTGGTGTGACCGCCGGCCACAAGGGCACGAGGTGCCACCGTCGGCTGCACCACCAGGAACCAGTGGCCCCATGGTCGCCTGGCAGGATCACCAGGCACCATCATGGCTGAGAGGAGGGGGAGGCTGAAGCCGGAATCCCAGTCCCTCCTAACTCGGTCCCTGGTGGCCACGGTCAAGCTGACCTTTGGGGGGTGGCTGTACGTGTGTGCCTGCTCAGCTGCCATTTGAGCTGCCACATGAGGGCGCCTTGGAGCGCTAAGTGACAGCAGGAGCTGCTGCAGAGGCCAGCAGTGGGCCAGGAAACAGCCCGCACACAGGAGAATCGGAGGGGAACCCGAGGCTCCATGCCTGCTCTCAGGCCAGCCCCGCTGCCTCCCTCCTGTGCCTGCTCACAGGCCAGCCTCGCTGCCTCCCTCCTCTGCCTGTGTGCACATCTGCTCACGCCCACAGCAGGTGTCCTGCCTGACACACCCTTCCCCAGACACCACAGGGCTCCACCTCCCAGGCTGCCCTTCCAGTAAGGCCCCAACCAGCCTCCCACTCCCCACCAGGGCTGGCAGGCCTGCCTGCGTCATCTCTGCTGGACACAGCCCTCCCCTCAGCCCCGTGTCCCTGCATTCCTGGTGTCACCTGGAGCTCCCGCCCAGCTCCTCAGGCCTCGTGGCCTCAGGCTGACTCCCCAGCTAGCGCTCACCGAAAGTGCTCTCTGCACACTTACTATCTTGGAATTATTGATCGTCGCCGGGTGCCCAAACTCTGTGATCATTTTCCAAGTCACATGATTAAGGATGCGCACCTGAGGGTGGCAAGCACGTGAGGCTGACGGGCTGCCCAGTGCCCTGGACGGGGCCCCCCGGCCCTGAGCCCACCTTCCCGTCATAGCTGCCGACCGCCAAGAACTGGCTGCTGGGGCTCCAGGCCACAGACTTGATGCCCAGGGACCACTCGTAGGCGCAGTAGGCTGACAGCAGCCGTCCGTCCAGGGAGTAGAGCAGGATCTTGTACTGCAGACAGGCAGGGCGGGGCTCAGCCCGGGGACAGGGCTCAGCCTGGGGACAGGGCTCGGCCTGGGCACTGGTCTGGGGCTGGGGACAGGGCTCAGCCCGGGGACAGGGCTCGGCCTGGGCACTGGTCTGGGGCTCGGCCTGGGCACTGGTCTGGGGCTGGGGACAGGGCTCGGCCTGGGGACAGGGCTCGACCTGGGGACAGGGCTCGGCCCAGGGACAGGGCTCGGCCTGGGCACAGGGCTCGGCCTGGGGACAGGGCTCGGCCTGGGGACTGTAGCAGGGACGGGCGAGGCGGGGGGGGGCTGAGGCATGTGAAGGCCCTACCCAGCGCCATGTCCCTCTACCTCCAAGCACGTGTCCCACGCGGCCAGCACGCAGCCGTTGGGCGCCCACTCGATCCCCGCGAGGTCCTGGGTGTCCGTGTCGAAGTGCTTGCGGAGGACCAAGGGAACACCAGTTGGAGGGCATTTCTCACCGGGGACGTTCCGTGCACTGGCACCCGATGCCTCATGCCAAAACGGCCAGTCACAGCTCCGACCGCCCGTGTGACCGCTCGCATGGCCCTCCGCAGCAGGCCTGGGCGGTGCGGCCGGCTGTACCAGGCTCTCTCTCAGCCTGCTCAGGGACGGTACCGGGCATCCCCCAGGAAGCTTGCTCAGCTCCTGCTCACGCGGACCACCCACACGCCACGAGCACTGTGGGACCGTGCAGGGTGGGCCCCCTCCCCACCGCCGCTGCAGCACGTGTGCAAACCCCTCCGCCCGAGGAGAGCAGGGGCCCAGGCTGCCAGGCGACACACGTGCCCAGGCGCTGCCTCACCTCAGCACACACACACACACACACACACACACACACACACACACACACACACAGCCAGGCACTGCCTCACGTCAGTGTACACACACACACACACACACACACACACACACACACACACACACACACACAGAGCCAGGCCCTGCCTCACGTCAGTGTACACACACACACACACACACACACACACACACACACACAGAGCCAGGCCCTGCCTCACGTCAGTGTACACACACACACACACACACAGAGCCAGGCCCTGCCTCACGTCAGTGTACACACACACACACACACACACACACACACACACACACACAGAGAGCCAGGCACTGCCTCACCTCACCTCAGCACACACACACACACAGAGCCAGGCCCTGCCTCACGTCAGTGCGCACACACACACACACACACACACACACACACACACACACAGCCAGGCACTGCCTCACGTCAGTGCACACACACACACACACACACACACACACACACACACACAGAGCCAGGCCCTGCCTCACGTCAGTGTACACACACACACACACACACACACACACACACACACACACAGAGCCAGGCCCTGCCTCACGTCAGTGCACACACACACACACACACACACACAGAGCCAGGCTGCCTCACCCTCAGGAGCTGCCAGTCGCTGCACACGAAGATGCTCACGTAATCCTTGCAGTCCCGCCGCTCAGCCAAGGCCATGTAGCGGCCATCCCTGGTGAAGGTGATGCCTGCCAAGAGGGGCAGCCCGGCTCAGGGGCAGCCCGGGCACAGCCAGCAGGAAGCCGCGAGGGGCAGAGGAGGGGGCAAGGAGAAGGGGAACGGAGGCACGAGGTGCCAGGCGGGGCTCGGGCAGCGGCAGTGCCCCTGCAGGCAGCCCATGCCCCGCGCAGAGTCCTGCGGGCCAAGCACACACCTGCAGACTGCTTCCACAGTGACTGCATGTCCAGAGGGTCTGTGGCTTCAGCTAAAAGTCAGCCTGTCACTGGGATGTCTTATTTTTACTTTTTGCTTATTGAGAAGAAGAAAAGTTGACCAACTGGCAAGCCTTCACTGGAGAGGCTAGACTCTTCCGATTCTGTGTTAACTTACAAATCAGCCCCGGGTCGGAACTTTGTCAAGAACTGGAATGTCCAAGGAGTGGGCCTCGGGCCCCGGGCGGGGAAGCGGCGGGCGCCTCTGTGCCCGCCTGGCAAAGTAAGCTGGGCACAGAGCAGCCAGAGCAGGGTGCGCTGGGGCACTGCAGAGAGCACTGCGCAAACACACGCTCTGGGCCGCCCACCTGCGGCAGGCCGGAGCCCCGTCAGTCACCCCACTTCTGTCCAGAGCTGGGAGCTCCCTGTGGGCCCCTGACAGGCGCCAGCAGAAGGAACTGCATGGCTCACTCGGCTGCAGCCAGGACTCCGCAGGCCTCTGCAGAAGCCTTTCTGCCAGCAGCCTGTGTCCTGACAGGCTTCCCCCTCGGGGGCACCCCAAGGGTCCTGGGAGGCTGGTGTGTGGGTGGAGGGGCCGGCCAGCAGGCCACTGCTGCTCTGCCAGAACCTCCCGGGCCAGGACCCGGTCAAGGGCCCGAGACTCACCCTCCTGGGCCAAGACCTGGCCAAGGGCCCAAGACTCACCCTCCCGGGCCAGGACCCGGTCAAGGGCCCGAGACTCACCCTCCCGGGCCAGGACCCGGTCAAGGGCCCGAGACTCACCCTGCTGACAGGCCTTGGGGTACTTGATGTATGACACACACTTGGTACACAATGACCAGACGGTGACCCGTAGCTGTGGGGGACAAGGAGAACGGCCGGCGTCCACCTGGTGTCCTTGGAAGGTTGTGGGCCATCGCACACCAGGCCGCCAGGCCCTGGGAGATCCAGTGCTGTGAGCCACTGCACCTGCCAAGCATGCCCTGCCATCATGGAACTCAGTGCCAGGGCTCGTTCCTGGCACTGTGGGGCACCCAGCTGGAGAGCCCAGTGAGGCACACGCAGCCCTTACAGAAGGAGGCCAGGGGCCAACCGCACCGGGAGAGGCGTCAGGAGCTGCGTGTAGAATGGAGAAGCTGTGTGGCAGAGGCCACTGGGCCGAGTGCGGGGGCTTCTGACAGCTGCTGCCGCCACACTGGGCACCTCCAGAAAAGCATCTGAACCAAGCCCAGCCTGGGCACTGCCAACTACTGAACACCAAAGGGGCATGTTGGGAACAGCATGGTGCTGGCCAGGACCAGATAAGGATCCCGAGTCTGTGCCCGGCCAGACCAGGTCAGTCTGTCTTCTGTGCCGTGGCGTCATCCTTATGGGGACAGCGGGCACGCTTAGCTCAGTCAGCCACTCCACCGCTCACACCGCTGAAGGCCTGCAGCACTGACGGCATCTGTGGCCATACAAACCAAACTGGAAAGGCCAGTAATTACCAGTGGCCAGCACTCGGCCCACGTGGCTGACGGCAGGGCAGAGCTCCCTGGCCAGGCGGGCAGCCCAGTGCAGCAATGAGGTGGGGGTGGGCCTTGGGGACCCTCAGGACATGGAGGGGACCAAAACCTGAGTGCCAGTGGGAAGCGGGCCACAGAGGGTGGGGATGGCTCATGGAGCTGTGCTCCAGTGCGCAGCTCTCACCGTGACAAGCCTCGGATCCAGGCACACGTTACCAGCTGGGTTGGTCTATTTCCAGTGACAACCAGGCTCTTTACAAAGCACATGCTGGAACTCAAGCACATGGACCAGCCGAGTGTGGAGGGATGCCTGTCACATGAGCAGACCAGGGGACCCGGGGGGCCCAGCGTGGTACGAGGTTCTACACGCAAGGCTCACGGAGAATCTGCTCAGAAGCAGCAGCTGCTGACGTGGCCTCAGCACCTGGGGGTCACAAGGGGCTCAGCACCGCACCCAGGGGCCACGGGGGCCTCAGCACTGCACCTGGCAGTCACGGGGGCCTCAGCACCGCACCCGGGGGCCATGGGGGGCCTCAGCACTGCACCTGGCAGCCACGGGGGTCTCAGCATTGCACCCGGGGGCCACAGGGGCCTCAGCACTGCACCCAGGGACCACGGGGGCCAATGCGGCCTCAGCACCCAGGAGCCACAAGAGCCACAGGAGCCACGGGGGCCACGGGGGCCATGAGGAGCAGTGCTCTCACTGTGGGGACCTCACATTCTCACGTACTGCAGTGTGGTGGGGCGGGAAAGCTGGCATGAGTGATGGAGCAAGGGCAGCTAAGCATGGACAAGCAGTGGTGTCCCGACTACGAGGGGATGGCCAGCAGACTGCACCCAGAGGACGCCACACGTGAGGGCGGACTCCGGACTAGAAATGCCATGTGAACCTGGCCACACGTGAGCCCGTGTCCAGCCACGCCAGGAGGGAGGAACCATGGGGAATGGGGAGGCTTTCTCAGTTGGATTCAGAGAAGCAGCTACAGCTACAGCTGAGCACTGCGGACACCATGTATCAATGTTGGGGGGACGGGGGGGGGCCACACAAGAACTCAGCAAAATCCAAGATCCTGGGAAGACCTGACTGTCGTCCTGAGCACACGCGAATGCTGCACGTGAAGCCTCAGAAACGGTTTTTAAATAAAAGCCCTCAGATGCCTGTTGGACACCCTGCAGGGTGCCGGCAACAGAGCCTCCAGGCCTGCGAGGGAGCCCCATGTGCAAGTGGGTGCCGGGAGGCAGCGCGCCTCCCCGGGGTGCTCTCCCCCCGCTGCTGGCCTGGAGTCACCCTGGGACACCTTGGCTGCAGGCCGGCCTGCCTCTGTGCGAGGACCGGACACATGCTCCGGGTGGTGCTCCGCCCCGGCTCAGGCCCTGCCCCATGAGCGCCCCGGGCTGGCGGAACAAAGCAACGGCTGGTGCGGCGTGGGACTCTGCTCCCACAAACCACCGCCCAGAGGCAGGGCGGGTCAGCTCACCCCTCAGCTCACCCCAAAGCCCTTTCTCATGACTGAAGGAAGGGGTGTGTTTAAAAGCTTGTCTTTTTTTTCTCTTAACCTAGAGAGCGGCAGGTGTAGCCAAACCAACAAGGCCAGTGCTTCCTACCACTTCCTGCTCTGAATGCTGCCAAGGCAGACCCCAGAGGCAGGTCCTGGGCCCGGCACCTGGGTGAGACCAGCACCCGCCGCGGGGGCATCTGTGGAGCGAGCTGGGAATGGCTCTCTCTGCCCCCTAATTAACACATTTCCAGAACCAACACTGCAATCATGCAGTGCTAAACATGAGCAGCGATCCAGGGTGGCCAGGTCGCCATGCCGTGGCTAAGGCCGACACACCCCAGCTGCTGCGGGCCGAGGGGCGCTCATGCACTCACGTGGAACTCGGTCGTATTAAGGATGTGTCGCCCGTCGGGGCTCCAGCACGAGGCCACGAGCCCTGCCGAGCCCTCGTCGATTTTGCAGTGCCACTCGGGCTGCTCCAGGGACCACACCTGCAGGCGGGAGGGAGAGACACATCAGGCCACAGGGACCAGACACGACGCAGCTGGACACAGGCCCAGACACGAACCTTCCATCATGAGGTCAGCCGCAGGAGCCGAGACGCAAGCCAGGCCCTTGGCGGCCTCCCTGAGCCCTGCGTGAGGGCCCTGCGCTAAGCTCTAACCGAGAAGGGGACGCCGCCTCCCAGGACCCCAGGCCACAGGGCTGCGGCATCTCACTGGATCTGCTCAGAAGCTCCAAGCACGCTGGTGTCTCCCCACCAACAGCAACTCAGACAGCTGCAGGACACTGACATTCAGCCGCCTGACTTCACTGCCAAGGACTGCACTTGAACGTACACAGAACAACACCTTGACCCTGCACACAGCACACACACCTGTACACATACACGGCACACACCTGCACACATACACACCTGTACACACCTGCACACGACACACACCTGCACACGGCACACACCTGCACACACCTGCACACGGCACACACCTGTACACATACACGGCACACACCTGTACACACCTGCACACGGCACACACCTGCACACGGCACACACCTGCACACGGCACACACCTGCACACACCTGCACACGGCACACACCTGCACACACCTGCACACGGCACACACCTGTACACACCTGCACACGGCACACACCTGCACACGGCACACACCTGCACATACCTGCACACGGCACACACCTGTACACATACACGGCACACACCTGTACACACCTGCACACGGCACACATCTGCACACGGCACACACCTGTACACATCTGCACATGGCACACATCTGCACACGACACACACCTGTACATATACACTGCACACACCTGCACACATACACACTTGTACACACCTGTACACATACACACCTGCACACACCTGCACACACCTGTGCACGGCACACACCTGCACGATGCCCCGCTTGTACATGGCACACAGGATGAAGAGCGAGTCTGCCGACCACTCCACGTGCTGGATCTGGTCGAGGCACCTGTACAGCTGCAGGATTTGGAGCGTGCGCACATCTCGGACCACCAGCCGGTACTGGATGCAGGAAGCCTGAGCAGCGGGAAGCAAGGGCAGGTGAGGCCACGCTGTGCCAGGGACGTAGCCCCTTCCCAGGAGGAGACGGGATCGGGACCAGACAAAACTGGAGTTGGTGACAAACCGCATTCCTCAGCATACAGTTCGACCATTTACAGACCTTGGCTTGCAAAACCTTTCCCTGAGAAGGAAGGCAGAAGGCCCCGGTTCTGCCGCAGAGCCCTTTTAGGTGCCCCTTGGGCAGATGGAACCTGAGGGCTGTGGCTCTGGCTGTACAGCTCTGAGCTGCCAGCACAAACTAACGGTCAAGCTACGACGCTGCAGCTTCAAGCTGCCCTGCCAATGCTCCCTCCGCACCCTGAGGGCGGCTGTGCCTCTGCCTCAAAACTCAGCAAGTAATTTCAGCTCACTCCGCACGGAACCACTCATTTACATAGCTACTGACATCCCGCCAGCAAGCGCATCCTACGCGCCAGGTAAGCTGGACACCACCACGCAGACAGGCCGTCCCTGTCCAGAGCACCTGCCCCGACCAGGGCCTAGCACCTGTTGGGGTCCTGCACCTGCCAGGGTCCCATCCACACCAGGGTCCTGCACCTGCTGGGGTCCTGCACCTGTTGGGGTCCTGTCCCCACCAGGGTCCCGCACTTCTTGGGGTCCCGCACCTGTTGGGGTCCCACACCTGTTGGGGTCCTGCACCTGCCGGGGTCCTATCCCTACCAGGTCCAGCACCTGTTGGGGTCCTGCACCTGTTGGGGTCCCGCACCTGTTGGGGTCATGCACCTGCCGGGGTCCTGTCCCTACCAGGTCCTGCACCTGTTGGGGTCCTGCGGCTGCCAGGATTCTGTCCCCACCAGGGTCCCGCACCTGCTGGGGTCCTGCACCTGCCGAGGTCCTGCAGATGACCGGGTCCGGGATCCCCGAGCTGCGGCCGCCCTCCTCCCACGCCGCCCCCAGGGCCCCTTGTTCCTCGCGCCCGCCCGCCCGCCCGGCCCCGCGCCGCCGCTCACCAGGTACTTGCCGTCCGGGGAGAACTTGCAGAGCAGGCCGGAGAGCTTGAAGGCCTCGGAGAAGTTCATGGCGCCGGCCGCGCGGCCCCCCGCGCCCCCAGCCCGCCGGGACGCAGGCGGCCACCGCACCCCAACCGCCGCGCTCCCGCGGCCGGAACTGAGCGGGCGGAAGCGCGCCGTGGCCAATGAGGGCGGCGAGGGCGGCGCGCGGCGCGCTGGGCTTAAAGGGGCCGCGCCAGCTGCGTCCAGCGCGCCTTCGGGGCCGAGCCCGGGGCTGGGGAGCCCGGGGCTGGGGCGCTGCGGGGAGGGCGGCTCACAGACGAACACGCATTTCCAGTAAACAAGAACCCCTTTTCCCAAACACTGCACGGGACACCCTTATTGATGGAAAAAAATCTCACGCGTGGACGGAGATGGACATTTCCACGGGCAGTTCGAGCCCGGGATCGCAGGCAGGGCTGGCTTTCGTGAGTGGATGCTCGCTCACAGATGAGAATTCGTTTGTGCAGGTGTTGTGCTGGGTCCACTTAAGTGTCCCCACCCCCCACATACACACTGACCCTCTGGTGTGGCGTTCTTCTCTGGCCAAGCCGGCAGCCACACCCGCGCCGGGATCCTCAGCCCTCCGCTGACCTGGCACCCGCCTCACCTGCGTGCGCCTGGGCACCCAGGAGACCCAACCAGTGGGATCAGGCGCTCAGCCTGCCTGGGCTCGGAGGGACCTTGCTCCCCGCCCCCGGCCTGCCCTGTCCTCTCGCCCCCTGGGGACCTGGTCCTCCTTCCCAGCGGAGGCCGCCCCACTGCTGGCCTTCACGCCAACCCTGTCCGTTTCTGGTCCCTGGTACGCTGTCCTGGTCCTGTGTTTGGAGAGCCTGGGTTCCGCAGGAACTTCCCGTCCGCGCCCGGAACGATCGGGGTGCGAGCATGCTCCCCGATCGCCGGCCTCTGTGTCCCCATCCGACCCACTCGTGCGCGGATTCGTCTATGACCCGCGCCCCACCAACCCTAGGTGAGCAGAAGTGCGCGGGAGCCGCAGCCAACGCTGGCGGCGCCTCCGAGGCGGGGAACACCGCACGGCAGGTGCCGCCACCACCAGAGCCGCTCCAGGTCCCCGGCACCGGGGTCCTCCAGCGGGGCCCTGCGTGCGGACACAGCGGCCAGAGGCGCCCACCTTCCCGGCTGCAGAGGAGCGTCCTGAGCCGCAGGGGCCCCCGCGGGATCCAGGGCGGATCCCCGAGCGCAGACAGGGGCTACCAGAGCCGGACCCCGGTGTGCCGGGCATTTGCGCGCCCCTTGGGCAACGCCGAGTAGCTTCCGGAGCCAGGGGCCACGCGGCGTCCCCGGAGGCAACCAGATGCCAGTTGCAGGCGCGATCCGCTGGGGTCTGGAGGGTGCCACCTTGGCCAGGGCTGGAGCAGCGCAGCTCTCAGGACGACGCTAGGTTCAGGACTAAGCGCTGACCCGACTTGGCTGGTAGAGCGTGACCGGCCCTCCCGGGAGGTGGGCACCCTGCGGGCCCGCCCCGACGGCCTGGGATTCACCCCGCTCCGCCCTGGTGTGGACACCCTGCGGGCCCTGCTTCCAGGGGTCACAGGCTCCTCGCGCGCCCAGGGGCCCAGAGCCGGTGGGGGCTGGAGAGGGCGATGGGGCGTCGCCGGGAGGGGATGGACAGGAGCGGGAGTGGGGAAGTCCAGGAGTCTGGGCGCGGAGGCTGCACCTGTGCCCGCCCCATCGCCTGCTCCCGCGCGCTCGTCGCCGCGCCCCCGGGGCTCGGTCCGGTCTCGGTCCCGCCTCGCCTGCCGGAGGGCCCCGGCGCCCGGCCCCGAGTGCGGTCCTGCGCGGGAAGCTCCTCCCGGGCTCGCCAGGGGCAACGCGCGCCAAGCGGCGGCGGGAAGGCAGCGGGCGGAACGCGCCCCCGGACCCCGACTCGGCGGAGGCCAGCTGGGGAGGCGGGGCGCCGAGAGACCTGGGCCCCGGCCGGGCCCCGCCGCCTGCCACGGCTGAGTGCCGCGCCGCCTTCCCGCCGCCGGGCTGGGAAAGGCGCTAACGCCCGCGGCCGCCCCCTTCCCGCGGCACCTCCCCTCCGCGCGCCCATAAAACCCGCCGCGGGCCCGCGCCCGCCTTGCGCCCACGGAGGGTTCGCGGCGAGGACAGGAGGGTTCGTGGCCAGGGCCAGCACGCTCGGACGCCGATGCCCGGGGCTCCGACCTCACCAGGTAGGCCCCGCTGGAGCCCGCGCGAGGGGCCGGTGGGTTTGTCTCTGCTCTCAGGGTAGCGGGATTGCATGGCACCGAGTTGAGTGCAGAGGGGTAACCCGCGTTGGGCACAGGTGCCTCGGAGTTCAGGGGGGATCTGGAGCGTGGCTTCGAAGCAGTAAGCGAGGTGATGGGGTGTCCTGCCAAGGGCGTGGACACAGAGTTCGGGGGTACCGGAGGACCCCCCTTCGGCCGGCCTCGGTGGGCCTGAGGACTAAGAGACCAGCTCTCAGGATGTGGGTGGCCGCAGTCTCCTCCCTCCGCACCCAGCAAGGCGGGCACAGGCGCGGGTGCAGGTCCTTCCTTGGCTCATGGGAGCGCAGCGGCTGCGGGCTCCTGGCTGCTCCCCGCGAAACTTCTCAAGCCGCAGGTGGCAAACCTGCTCCCGGTTACCCCCTTCCCCCTCCGCTCCGGGTCGAGAGCCTGGGGCTGAGCCCTGGGTGAGTCTAGGGGCGGAACCAGGTGGAGATCCGAGGGGTACCTGCTCTCCCCCACCTTGGCCTAGACCTGGGCGGGGCGGCTATTATTACCTCTCTACTCGGGGAGCACTTTTGATCTGGGCCTGGCTGCTTAAATAAATCAAGGGGCAGGTAGACCGCCCTCACCTGGGGGCTGGCCTTGCTCTGCGAGCCACCTGGCAGTGTCAGCCTTGTTGGGGCTTTTGGGCGCCCCATTTGGTGGTCTGCTGTCCCCGGGCACTGCGTGGGTGTGCTTGACCTTGATGGTCTGACCAGGGAGGGAGTGGACAAGAAGTTGCCGTTTGGACTTCAACTGAAAATGCTTTCGATTCGTTCGGTGAATAATGTAGGAGGATTTTATTAAGGATGAAACGGCAAGAGAAATCTGGGCCTGGGTGAACGGCAGGTGGGCCTGGTGGGTGGGGCTCTCTGCTCCATGGCGGCCTCCCCCAGATGGCCACCGGCTGCTGGGCCCCTGCCAGTGGGCTCCTTGGTGGGGTCTGTGGGTTGGGGGATCCCGAATTTGAAAAGACCCTCCCCTGGGAAAAGCCAGTCTGTAGCTGGAGTTCCTTAGATGCTGGTGCTCAAGTCGCTCTTGCTTCTGGGGTCTGGACCCGAGCAAATGCCTCAAGCCCGGTTTGCCCATGGGCACGGCAGGGGCATGCGCTGTGCCTCATCTGGGCCCCTGCCCGGTGGCCGACCGTGGTTGTGGGGTCTCAGCTCCTCAGGGCTGGCAGGTCTCTCCCCAGCTGGGTGGGTGGGGTGGCCCTGAGGGAGGAATGTGGTCAAGGCTGGGCGGAGGCTGGTGGCATCTGTCAGGGGTATGCAGGGTAGCCATCTATTTATAGAGTGGCCCCACCCAGGCAGGGACTGGTTTTATAACATGGGATGCAGGGACGGGGCTGAGGGGCGTTGAGGATCAAGAGAGGGGAGTTCTCCACACTCCAGGCCCCGGGGAAGGTCCTGTCTGTGCTCTGGGACCATGTCCCCCACCCCGGAAACGGGTTCCAGGGGTGCAGAGGGGGAGCTCTCGGTGGGAAAGAGTTCCTGGCACCACGCTAAAGGGCACAGGTCACCCGGCTCCTCCTGTGGGCGGCACTTGCAGCTGGCGACCCTTGCCCGAGTTTGCCAACCTCTCACCAGCTTCTCTGGACCCGGCTCTGGCCAGGGGTCCTCCAAGTCCCCACCGCGCGGCCTGCTCCCAAGTCGGCTGTGGCTGGTGACTTAGTTCTGAGAAAGCGAGTGATGCAATGGCGGTGACCTCCGGGGTGCTCTCCGCCAGCCGGTCCTTCTTCCAGAAGCTTCAGTGAGAGCTTAGTCAGCTAGCAGCTCCCCTGCCGCCCAGGCTGCCCAGGTCCGCCCACGCGTGGCTGTGCCATGTGTTTACTGCACAGGCAGAGGACAGAGGCAGACAGCGGGCGCCCGGCTTCTCTCCAGATGCCTGCGGAAGTCAGTCCTGTCGCAGCTGTCACTTCCTGGAGTCTGCCTTAGCAGAAAGCTAGAGTCCTGAGCGGGCTCTGAGGCAGAACCAAAGACACTCACATGAGGCCCTCACCTATGGGGCGCTGAGGGCCGTCGCTGGGGCACAGCAGGCCAAGCCGCTACCTACCCCTTGGTGTCCCATAGGTGAAGGCTCCACTTCCGGTCCAGCTCCCTGCAAGCGTGCCTGGGAAAGCAGTGGAGGCTGGTGTGAGGGCGGGGCCCCTGCACTCCTGTGGGAGACCTGGGTGGGGTTCCTGGCTCCTGGCTTTGTACTGGCCCAGCCCTGGCTGCTACCGCCGTTTGGGGCATGACCCAGCACATAAAGATCGATCTCTCTCCCCCCTCTCTGTTTTACCTTTAAAACAAGTAACTACATAAATATTTTATTTTTAAGAAGAAAACATATACAGGCAAACTATCGTTGACCAACCATCACTTAGTCAGTCAGTGGTGGCTGAGAGCTGGGCTGAATAGCCAACTTTAAAAAATAGTAATTTATGTGCTCACTTCAGCAGCACATGCTCTTAAATTTATTAACTTATTAATTTACTTACTTATTTGAAAAAGAGAGAGATCTTCCCTCCCCGGTTCACTCCTCAAATACCTGTAGCTGAGCCGATACAAGCCAGGAGCCTCCTCCCGGTCCCCCCTGCGTAGTCTCTGCTGCTTGTCAGCACGTTAGCAGGTTGCAGGATCCGAAGTGGAGCAGCCAGGACTGGGATTGGCACCCGTGCAGGCTTTAGAACGCTCCTGCTCAGTGGGCCCTTGACCTCGTCCTCTGTGGGTGCCAACCCTCGCCCTCTGTGGGTGCCAACCTGGAAGGCAGGCGGCCACCTACTAGTGTCAGCTGCATCTGCAGGTTTGCAGCCAGTTGGGGCCACGCGTGTCCCGCTGTGCGTGATAGCCAGAAC